GCCCTGCTCGTGTCGTCTCCTGTCCCACCAGACTCTCCTTTGGCACCACCGCCTTGGTCACCCCTCCCTGCCTCGTCTCCGAGGCATGGCCTCACGTGTCCTTTTCTCTGGTCTCCCTCGGTCCCTACCTCCCCTACCTCCAGGGCCTGCCCCAACCTGCGTCCCCTGCGTCGAGGGGCGACAGCGCGCTGCCCCTCACTCCTCCGAGTTTCCTCCGACAGAGGCTCCGCTGCAGACTCTTCACATGGACGTGTGGGGCCCCGCCCGCGTCCGTGGCCAGGGTCACGAGCGTTACTTCCTGTTGGTGGTTGACGACTACTCGCGTTACACCACGGTCTTCCCCTTGCGCAGCAAGGGTGACGTCACTGAGGTGTTGATTGACTGGATCCGCGCAGCTCGTCTCCAGCTCAGAGAGAGTTTCGGCTCGGACTTTCCTGTTCTGCGTCTGCACTCTGACAGAGGCGGGGAGTTTTCCTCTGCCCGGCTGGGAGCCTTCTGTCGTGCACAGGGCATCCGCCAGACCTTCACGCTTCCGGCCTCTCCACAGCAAAATGGGATTGCTGAGCGCCGCATTGGCATGGTCATGGACGTCGCTCGTACGTCCATGATCCATGCGGCTGCCCCCCATTTTCTGTGGCCGTTTGCGGTTCAGTACGCAGCGCATCAGCTCAACCTTCAGCCCCGGGTCTCCTTGCCAGAGACCTCCCCCACCTTGCGGTGGACGGGGAAGGTTGGCGATGCGTCTGCGTTTCGGGTCTGGGGATCTCGGGCGTTTGTCCGCGACTTGTCTGCGGACAAGCTGTCCCCCCGTGCTGTTCCCTGCGTCTTCCTTGGCTTCCCCCCTGACGCGCCTGGTTGGCAGTTTTACCACCCCACCTCGCACCGTGTTCTGTCCTCCCAGGACGTCACCTTTGACGAGTCGGTGCCTTACTACCGTCTCTTCCCCTACCGCACTGCGCCCCTCCCCCCGCCGCCGCTCTTTCTTGCGCCAGGTCCTCCCACGGTAGACCCCCTCCCCCCTTAGGGTCCTGCCCCGTCAGGTGTGTCCCAGGTAGACGCAGTCGAGCCTGTCGAGGTAGTTGTTGACTCTGGTGCTGCTAGAGGTGCTGAGCCTGCGGGTGCCGGGTCTGGGGGTGCGGAGCCTGGGGGTGCTGAGTCCAGGGGTGCGGAGCCTAGGGGTGCTGAGCCTGGGGGTGCTGAGTCTGGGGGTGCTGAGCCTGGGGGTGCTGAGTCTGGGGGTGCTGAGCCTGGGGGTGCTGAGCCTGGTGGTGCGGAGCCTGGGGGTGCTGGGTCTGCTCGTGTGGCCTCTCGCGGTGCTTCGTCGAGGCGGGAGCTACTCTCTCCGCAGGAGCTGCGCGAGTGGTTTGCCCGGCGCTGGAGCCGTGCTGCTGGAGCTGGAGGTGCTACTGTTGCTGCTGGTCCTGGAGGTGCTCGTACTGGTGGTACTGGAGCTGCTGGGACTGGGGGTGCTGCTGGGGCTGCTGGAGTTGGTCCTGCTGGAGGTCCTGCTGGAGCTGCTGGCGGTACTGGAGCTGCCGGTCCTGCTGGAGTTGGTGCTGCTGGAGCTACTGGAGCTGCTGGAGCTGGAGCTGCTGGGGGTGTTGGCGCTGGTGGTTCTGCTGGCGCTGGTACGTCTGAGGGTGCTGGAGTTGGCGCTGTTGGAGCTAGAGGTGCTGCTGGCACTGGTGCTGCCGCTGGGGGTACTGGTGCTGTCCCTGCTGGTTCTGGAGGCGCTGCGCGGCCGCGGCCGTACTTCGTTCCACTCCTTGAGCAGGTTCTTGGTCTCCCGCCCTCTACTGGTCCTGCTCCTCCCTTAGAGTGTCCACAGCCTGTCCAGTCGCGGTCACAATTACAGCCAGCCTCCCCCTTACCTGCTCCTTCTCCTACACTGGTCCTACTGGAGGTCTTGCTGAGCGTCGTGAGCCTGCGTCTCGTCCTGCGTCGCCTGTTCGTGCTGCTCGCACTAGTCGTCGTGCTCCGCGTCCGCGTCCTCCTGCGGTCCCAGGCACACACCAGATGGCACTGCGTCCTTCCACTGCTCCTCTGCGTGTCCCGTTGCCGTCTCCTCCAGAGTCCTCTCTTCCTGTTCTTGCTGACCCGGAGTCTGACTCTCTTTGTGCTGCCAGTCCTACTGTCACGCGTCTCCTGGCTACTGTTGTCACTGACCCTTCCTTTGAGTCCACTGCTGCGTCGGCCCTAGTTGCTGAGCTTGTCGACTTTGCTGCTCGCTGTCGTCTAGACTACGCCACTAGTCTCGTTGCTGAGTCTGAGTCTGTCTGTCCTCCGTCCGTCGGGGGTGAGTGTGCTCTTAGCACGGACGTCCTTGAGGACAGGCAGGAGGAGTTCCAGTGTTTTGCTGCTGCTTTGCCTCATCTCGTGTCCACGCTGATTGCCCCTGAGGGAGACCCGGATGCACCAGACATCCCGACTCCTCGATCGTACGCTGAGGCGATCGAGGGTCCCTACTCCTCTCAGTGGCAGTCAGCCATGGACGCAGAGATGGCTTCCTGGAAGTCCACAGGCACCTACGTCGACGAGGTTCCCCCACCTGGGGCGAACATCGTCAGTGGCATGTGGATTTTCAGGGTGAAGCGGCCGCCGGGTTCTCCGCCTGTCTTCAAGGCGCGTTACGTGGCTCGAGGCTTCAGTCAGCGGCAAGGAGTTGACTACTTTCAGACCTTCTCTCCCACCCCGAAGATGACCACTCTTCGGGTGCTGCTGCACATAGCCGCTCAGCACGACTACGAGCTCCACTCTCTTGACTTCAGCACAGCTTTCCTGCAGGGCAGCCTGCACGAGGAGATCTGGTTGCGCCGCCCACCTGGCTTCACTGGGTCGTTTCCTCCTGGTACCCAGTGGAGCCTCCGGCGTCCAGTCTACGGTCTCCGCCAGGCGCCCCGTGACTGGCACGACACACTGAGGACTACACTTGCGGCACTTGGGTTTGCTCCTTCTACAGCCGACCCGCCGCTGTTTCTGCGCACCGACACCTCTTTGCCGCCGTTCTACATCCTCGTGTACGTCGACGACTTGGTCTTTGCCACTGCTGACACTGCTGGACTCGCCCACGTGAAGTCCGAGCTGCAGAAGAGACACACGTGCACAGACCTGGGTGAACTGCGTAGCTACCTTGGCTTGCAGATCACCCGGGACAGAGCACAGTGCACCATTACCCTGACTCAGTCATACATGGTGCAGCAGGTCCTTCAGCGCTTCGACTTCACGTACTCCTCGCCTCAGGCCACTCCTCTGTCTACTCGCCACTCGCTCTCAGCTCTGCCTTCGGATGAGTCCGTAGAGCCGAGTGGCCCGTACCCAGAGCTTGTTGGCTGCCTCATGTACCTGATGACCTGCACTCGACCTGACCTTGCATACCCTCTTAGCATCTTGGCACGCTATGTTGCTCCTGGGAGACACCGACCAGAGCACATGGCTGCAGCGAAGAGGGTGTTGCGCTACTTGTGCAGTACGTCGGGCATGGGGCTAGTGCTTGGAGGGCAGCGTTCAGTCACATGCCGTCCCGGCCTTGCATACGTCGCAAGTTATCTCGCACAGTTTCTACGCTGCCCAAAAGAAGAACACCATTTCGATCTTCAGCGTGCTCTACATTACTTCGTCGCAACACCAACAGTCGGGCTGGTCTTCAACACAGGAAAACCAACCAACAAAATGTACCTCAGCGGATATGTCGACGCAGACCACGCCGGTGACACGTCAGATCGTCGGTCACGAATCGGCTACGTCTTCCGTCTCGAGCCAGTTGGCCCGATCTCGTGGAATTCGTCGAAACAGGAACTCGTGTCACTTTCCTCGGCTGAGGCAGAGTTTATTACCGCATGTGCTGCAACCCGAGAAGGATTATACTTACAGGAACTGCTCGACGAAGCAAAATTCGTCACGCCGAATCAGTTCACGTTGCAGTGCGACAACCAGAGTGCAATTACTGTCGTAAGTGAAAGAAAAGTGGATGTCGACTATCGAGGGAGTTGGTACAAAGAATGAACCTAAGGGGTTGTACCCCACAGTGTGTACCCCACTAAGCCTACCCAAACTATAACATAGATATACCGTACATATGTTTGACAATTACCATTGCCAACAAGCCCGGCTTCGTCAATCGCACAAAACATATCTCACTGCGTTACTTCTTCGTCAATGATGCGATCGACAAGGGGAGAATGCGCCTTGTCTACTGTCCCACTGGTGACATGGCAGCTGACTCGCTTACCAAGAAACTGACACGACAGAAATTTCACCACTGCAACCAGCTCAGCGGCGTTTCAGAGGCAACTGGGTAAGTACACCGAACTCCTAGAAGTGAAGGGGAGTGTTGAGATAATATCGAGACTTACGCACTTCAAGGAATTCGTGTAGTACAGTTAGTAGAGTGCGAGACTTCGCACGTAATAGTAAAGTACCGATAGTCTGATGTCAGCAAAGCGCTACGCGCCCTAGGATGACGTCAGCAAGTAGCTGTAGGCCTCGCGAATAGTCACGTACCGTTTCAGAACAGGAATAGCGTGAATAGCACACTTCAGTAGGCGAATAGGTACTTTACTATAGCTATATATTCTGTATGCTTGTCATTTTATAATATACCTGATTTCAGAGACATTGATCCTGAAACGTGTCACTACATGGGCTTTACATATTAGCCCAGACAAAACCTCCTACACTGGCTTTAATTCATACCAAGACTTCCACTGCAACAGGAAGCTACCATCCTAAGTACACGATCCTATTCAGTCATTCCAGGGAGAGGATACTAGTTTGTAGGAGAGGATACCAGCTTCCAACACCTGCTTGAAAGCCAAGGAGGATACACACACTAACTCCCGTAAAATCTTAAGCCGATTGACCGAGAGTTTTTGAGACGACTAAAAACAAGGATGGCAGCAGCGTCCAACACCCAACGCTGAATGACAGATGGTTTTTTGTGAGAAATTAATTGAAAAATTCGATTCTGTGAAACAGAACGAATTCCACATATTCCTGCTTCCTCACACCCCTTCACATAGTGTGGCCTGTCCTGGGGGTCTAATCTTGACCGCGACAGCAGCGAGTATAACGGAGAGGGGGCAAACGACGAGGAGGAGGGAGTTTTTTATGGGCGTGGCGATGTATGGGCTGGCGAGGAAGTAGGCGGAGCAGGCCGCACTGCTCCACGAGATCCAATGCGCGTATGCTGCGTCCTGTGCGGGGTCAAGGCGTGGCAATGGGAAGGTTGAAAGGGGAAACGGGTTTGAGAGAGAGGGCACACGAGGAAGCAGATGGAGACAGCAGGCAGCAGTGCTCTGAGTGATTCAATGCACGTACGCTGCGTGAGAGGAAGTAAATGAGGGTTCAAGGGGGATTGTGGGGGGTGGGAGGGGTTGAGTGAGAGTGGGGGCTGAGAGGAAGTCTATGATGCAGCAGGCAGCACTGCTCTAGGCGATCCAACATGCGCACGGTGTGGTCATGGAGTGTTCAATGCGGTGCAGAGGGGAGATTGTGGGAGGAAGATATGGAAGAGGAGAGGAAAGAGAGTGATAGATGTTGGAAGGGGAAGCGAGAGGTGCGAGCATGGAAGGAGGATGAGAGGAGTGTGAGTGAGAGAGAGGGGAGGAGGAGGTATGCTGTGGGCTACGTTATGTGTGGCAACAGTGGGTCTCGACCAATGGCAGGTATCTTACCACGTCGGATGGGAAGACCAACGGCAGGAGCGCAGTGATTTGGGACTGAAACGCGGTGGCGCCGATTCCCCACAGCAGTGCACAGCTGAACACCAGCGCGAATGCTGCTGGCTTGGACATGGCTCTGGAGAGGAGGAGGGATGGGGAGGAGATACGGCGGAATAGGGGGGAAGGGGAAACAGAAAAGGGCAAGGCTGGAATTGAGAGTGAACTAGTACCCTCAAAGATTCCTGTGAGCCATCTGTAAGGCACATACCTCTAGGATCTCTCACCTGTCCTGAAAGAGCCATGTGAGGATGAGAACGGCTGTCTGCGAGGCAGCACCCAGCAGCAGCATGAGGCGAATCGATGAGAGCCCCTTGGCGAAGCGAACTGCGATGAAACAACACTGGGGGCGTGGGGGGGGAGTGGACGGAGAGGCATGTAGAGCAGAGCAGCAGGATGAGTAGGAGAGAAGTCGAGAGTACTCACAGACAGCAAACCCCTTGGACAAGGGAGCTGCGAGGCATGGAACGCACGTTTTGGCCTAAGACTTCGTCTGTGCCACCGGATTGCAAAAAAAGGTCTAGAGGGAGCTCAAAGTAGCGCCATAGGCTTACAGAATAATAATAATAATAATAATAGTAATCACAACAACAATAATAATATTAAATAATAGTAGTAGGAGTAATCATAAGACTAATAGTAATACTAATATTCGTAATAATGTTAATTATAGTAATAACATTTATAATAGTTAATATCATTATAATATCAAAAGCAACTGCAATATCAACTCACAACGGCAATGGCGACTCCAAAGACCATCATGGCTCCGCCCATCCACTGCGCTCCCAGCAGCGGCTGCACCACATAGCGTGTGAAGTCAGCACTGAGGAGGGAGGGATGGGAGGGGTGGGAGGGGTGGGAGGGATGGGAGCATAATAGTCAGCAACGGTAGTCAGCTGTCCAGTACTCCATCCTCCATTTGGTGTTCAGAGTAACTTTCAGGCGCCTCAAAAATCGCCTCAAAAAGGCGCCTGAAAAATAGCTTCTGACTGAACTGCACCTGCCAATCCTCTCCACCGTCCATTGCGTGTTCAGAACTTTCGAGTTTACCTGACTTCCCCTGTACATACCTGCCTTCTCGTTCCCCTCTTCGACTCTATTGCACTTCAAGCCTAGGAGTATGATCTAATCTAATGATGGAACATACCTGATATAAGCGGCATGCAGTGTGGCAGCATGCACCATTCCGTCCAGTTAACAGCAGGTGTATGCATTATACCTGATATAAGCGGCCTGCAGTATAGCAGCACGCATCATCATACCTGATATAAGCCGCTTGCAGTCCCGAGTAGAAGAGCAGCGGAATCAGCAGCAGCAGCTTTCGATCAAACAGCAGCTGCCACGCGTTCCTCCCCTCCCCCTCCTTGCTCCCCCCGCCCACCGTCACCGTCATCCGTTTAAACGTCACAGACCGAGTCAAAGTTGGCCGCCCGGTCGCCACAGAAGAGGACAAAGTACGCTGCCTCGAGTAGTTCGTCGAAGTGGACCGGGACATGGTTCGGGAGAGGGACGGGGCTCGGAACGAAGCTATGGTTCGGCCGGACCTGGAGTTGATGGTCAGGCTCGAGGATGATCTGGTTTGGCTCCGAGGGTCAGAAGCCAGGTTCGGGCCGAGCCTGGGTGTTTGCCTTGGGATGGTGGCCCGGCGGGAGGTAGACTCGCAGGAAGAGGTTTGGAATGAGCGGAGGGAGCGGGATGGCTGAGAGGTACGGTGCGGTTGGGATGGATTGCCTGCAGGAGCAGATTGTATAACGTCACTGAAGGAGTCGTCAGGGATCCCTGCATCCCCTACACCCACACTCCCCCTCTCACCCTCTCCAACCACCTCTCCCCTCTCACCCTGCCCATGCTCTCCCCTCTGCTCCTCCTCTCCCTCCCCTCGCTCCCCTCCCTCCCCTCCCTCCTCATCCATGCCCGACAGTATTGCTCGCAAGTTCCGCTTCGCCTTCTTCCCACCCCTCGCTCCCCCTTCCCTCCCTTCCTCCTCCCCCGCTTCCGCCCCCTCTTCCTCCCCCTCTTCCTCCTCATCTTCCTCCACTTCCTCCTCCACCAACACTTCCATCTCCTCCCAATCAACGGTGAAGATTGAAAGCGCCCTGGTGGATGAAATCGACGGACAGGGAACGAGCGCGGCGACTGGGCGCTTGAAGTTCAGGGTAGCGTCGTCCACGTGGCAGTCTTCTATTGGCTTGAGATCACGGAGGAGCCAGGAGAGCACTGAGCCTATAGCGAGGCAGATGCAAAACACTATAATGAGTATGGTGACGGTGGTGGGAGGAAGGGAGGAGGAGGAGGAAGAGGGGGAATAGGAGAGTTGCGAGACGGTGAAAGTGATTGCGTTCCCGATAATCTGATTAAACGCGAATATTCCCCCAAAAAGGGCGCTAAATTCGGTCACCACAACATCCATAGGCTTGTTGTAACGTTTACTGTAGACACCCGCAGCAGCAACGAGGTACACTCCCTGCGTAGCGAAAACAAGGAGGCATGTCGCGGGGATGAGTGGTTGAAGGCCCCAGGAGGGATCTTGTGAAAGCAGACGTAGGAGACTATGAAAGATTTTCATTAATGCCATTCAGGTGCTAAGCTTATGAGGAAAGAAGGAGAGCAGCTGAAAAGGAAAAGAGCACACACACACACACACACACACACACACACACATACACACACACATACACACACACACATACACACGCACGCGCGCACGCACTCACACACACTCACACAAGCATGCGCGCGCGCACACACACACACACACTTTACAAGACAAACTCATCTGAGAGACGGGAAAAGAGACGAAGAGCGTCACCTGAGCCACCCAAACGACGGACCAGCAGACTCCGAGGTAGCACGACGCGAGAAGAAGCAGCCACCTGGCCACGAAGACGCATTGGGGCGGGACGGGGCGCGGGGTACTAGGGGCATGAGAACGTGTTCGGAATGAGTCTCTTGTATGGACCGTTGTCAGGGAAGGAACGACGGGGCATCAAGAGCATCCTCCGTATAGGCTTTCTGCCAATTATTTAGTAATCCCGTCCCAACTAAGACCCAAATTCATCGATGCACATTGAATGATCCACATTTGTATGACAATAAACTACCACGCACTCTATAGTAAACGCGTTGGAACCGATAAAAGCCCAGAACCCCGTCTGCGCCACGAGAATCGCGGCGCGCGCTCGCCAGAAGCGGATGGGGAAGGGCGCGAGCGGCGCGGTGACGACAATGACGGCGTAAAGCACGCCCATGGAGAGCGCGCCGATGTTGCTCGCGCCGTGGATGCTCGTCGCGACGTTCTGCAGCGCGTTGAACGCCACGAAGAAGAAAAGGAACGCCGTGCTCATCAGCAGCACGTCGCGCCGCGACCACACCCACCGCCACATTCGCGCCGCGGGCGCACATGCTGCTGCTTCTCCTCCACTGTTGTCTTCCGAATGGTCGATGATTTCTGACAGCGCTGCAGGCTCAGTCATCGCGAAAAGGGAAAGTTACGAGAATTGGCCTCCGAATGTTTTTCTGCATAAACCTTGCGGAAATTTGCGAAGAGTTGCGAAAAAACAACACACTAAAATCGCAACATTCTGTACACCAGTTCCGAAGAGGCACACCGAAGCAAAATTAAAGCTCGCGTCTCATATTTATGCCATCCAACCAAGTGTTAAACGGTTGGAATCCGGTAACAGCAGAGTTTGTCGCACAGCACACCAAGGAAAGGGGTGGTTGGTAAGGTTGGTTGGGAAATCGCGTCGCACACTTCCCCGCGAACACCAAGCATTTACAATCTCGGAAATTTGAGACTCTGAACTCTCAACTCTGACAGTAAGCGGGGCCAAACCTGTCCCCCAAGGCTCGTCTTCCACCCAAACCTGCACACCCTGGTTTGTTTTGGCCAAACCTGTTTGGGAGTTCGCTGTGTTTTTTTCACCCGCTCGTCACATATTTCGTCATTCGTTACCCAATCAAATAGGGGCAAACCCAACCAAGTGTTAAACAGTAGGAAATTTGAGACGCGAGCTTTAATCCCCCAAGTAGCTTTTCCGTCAACCTTTTCGCGTCAGTCGGTGTCACGCGGTTGAGAAAGTTTGCATGCGGCTTTGCAGAGTGACGAGGGCAAAGAAATGTAACCACAAACTTAATGTGTTATGAGTTGTAAAAGAGAGTGCGCATGTTATGAGTTGTAAAAGAGAGTGCGCATTTTAACGAATAACGAGAAGTGATTGAACAGATTGATTATAAAATGAAGGTACATGCTTATATAGTGAGTAGGCTAGCTAGGAGGGAACTTCGGGTGAGTGAGGTTGGGTGCAGGTTTGGCGAAGAGGAAAGCTGAAGGCGACGCGAGGAGGCTTGGCATCGTTGATGTCGGCCAAACGTGCAGAGTCCGAAAATCGGGGCTGTACGCAAAGCAATCAACCCCGATAAGGAATTCAGGAAAATTCCTTACACTACCCCCCCCCCCCCCCCTTTAAGCCAGGTGGTCAATATCCGCGGCACGCTTGCGAGCGAGATAATCAACAAACAAGCGAGGAGTCTGCAAGCGAAGCGGATGGTACCCACGTGTCGTCCTCACTGGTGCGGTCAGTCCAGCGAATTAAAATTTCCACGTGGCGGCCGGCGACATCCAGGCGAACACGATGCACCAAGATCTTGGACGGGTCAAGGGTCGGTTCGGGCACCGGGCGTGCCGTTGGTGCGGCTTGTTGGCGAGCGATGGCCGTCGTGGCAGGCACGAACTTGCGAAGTAAGCTGACATGGAAGGCATCGTGAGTGCGCCAGTCGTCGGGTAGCAGCAGCTTCGCGGTGACAGGTGTCACCATCTTGATAATTTTGAAAGGTCCGCAGAATTGTGGCCGCAATTTCGATGGGCCTAGCAAGTGCAGTTTCTTCGTGTCAAGGAGGACTAATTGCCCAGCTGTCAAGACAAGTTCCCGTCGTAAAAGGTCGGCGTATTTTCAGGAAGTGGTATTTGCCTTGCGAATTGCGTTTGCAGCCTTTTCGCGGACTTCTTGTAGTTCTGTCACGAATGTTTGTGACCGTGGGACCGGATTGTCGAGTGTAGTCGTGGTAGGCACCATCGGATCCATCCCGTAATTAAAAAAAAAACGGGGAGTGATTAGACGTGCTGGACGGGGCATTGTTGAAGGCGAACTCCAACATGGCTAGCGAGTCCTCCCAGCGAGTAGGATCGGAGCAGTTGGTCCGTATCAGCTGCTCCATTGTCTGATTAGTCCGCTCGGTCTGGCCATCCGTCTGTGGGTGGTATGCAGAGGAGAATTGTAGTTTCTGTCAGAATGTTATGTTTGTCTAGCACTGGGGTACTCAATAGTGAGTACAGCCCAATTTAGGGTTTGCTATATGTACTCAACTGCTTGCTAGTGAAACCCCTTCTTCCATTCATTCCTGTTTCTTCACATGATATGGAGCTGGTTCCCTCCTGGGACTGTTCCTTCCTAGGGCCCACCACTTCGCTAAACTTTTTTTTCTGCCCTGCCCTTAGCGCGTTTCGCGCTCTGCCCTGCTGCCCGTCGCGGCCCTTCGTGGCCCCTTCGTGGCCCCTTCGTGGCCCCTTCGCGACCCCGTCGCGGCCCTGTCGCGGCCCCGTCACGGCCTCGCCCCGGCCCTGCCCCGTCGCCCGGCCCTGCCCCGTCGCCCTGTCGCGCCCCCCCGTCGCGCCCCCCCCGTCGCGGCCCCCCGTCGCGGCCCCCCCCGTCGCGGCCCCCCTTCGCGGCCCCGTCGCGACCCCCCGTCGCAGCCCCCCGTCGCGGCCCCCCGTCGCGGCCCCCCGTCGCGGCCCTTCTGTCGCGGCCCCCCGTCGCGGCCCTAAGTCGCGGCCCCCCGTCGCGGCCCTGCCCCGTCGCCCACCGCGGCCCTGTCGCGGCCCTGCCCCTGCCCTGTCGCGGCCCTGTCGAGGCCCTGCCCCGGCCCTGCCCCAGCCCTGCCCCGGCCCCGCCCCGGCCATGCTCCGTCGCCTGTCGCGGCGCACCGGGGACCCGTGCACCGCCCCCCCCTCTTTTCCCGTCGCCCGTCGCGGCTCCCTGGGGGGCCGCGACCTGGGGGGGGGGGGGGGAGCGAGCGTCGCCCCTTCTGCCGCCTGTTTTGGCGCCCTGGGAGGCCGCGCGTCGGCCCCCCCCCCCCCCCCCACGGGGAAGTATGATGTATTTGGTGTTCGCGCAGTGGTCACAGATGTCTAATCCCATTGGAGCAAGCTCAAAGTCGCGCGTAGCAAAAACATTATGTATGCAGGTTTCACAGATGTGAACGCCATCGCTCAACTTTTTTCCTTGCAGGAGTATACATGTCTACAATCGCATTATGCGTCATTTGCATGGCGTACCTGCTACTGCAGACCTATCGTCAACGAGAAACGCACTTTGTATATTTTCCAACACTTCAGCGTACTCCATTTTTGCTAACCTCACAGGTGAGTGCTGAAAACGCAATCCTTGGTTTGTTTGTTAGACATGTTTCCATGTCTGTTTTTCCTGTTTACATCGGCTCTAATTTGTAGAGTTTTTATTTCAGAGACGCAGGTCTAGAAACCTAACACTGGAGTCTTAAGTTACGGATAGGGTTGGAAACGAAAATGTGTACCGTTTTTGTCAGTTGTGATAATTTACGGTAATAAAGAGATCCAATTTCATCATATGTTGTGCCATTGTCGGATGAACCACAATCGTCGCAGCGGTTTTTGTATAGATCGCCAGCCAATTAATATTTGTTATTGTACGCTAAATCGCAAGATCTGATTGGTCCACATGGAAAGATTACGTGCGTTGATTGTCATCTTTTTTTACGGTTGACATTAGGGTACGGTAGACGCCAAGGCAGCATTTCAAAGTTTCATCTCGAGTGTGGTGTACGCCATGTGGCGTTGTCGTGACACTTTCGTTCAGGTCGCTCAAAATTGACGGAAAAGTTGCTGTTGTGTATACTTGGTTAGTTGAGTCAACGTGTGCAGTTAGTGACGGAAGAGTGACGGAAACGTTGCATCGCAAGTCACGTTCGGTACACAGTTTTAGAACCTTGACTTTTTTTCTGGCGTTAAAAAATACAGCTTGAAAGTTGCAGCCAAGTAACTTTTACGCTGCTTTTTGAACTGCCCTTTTTTCGCGATGGTCGTCTCGGTGGGCGATGCGCTCGCTACTGTCGCATCCGACGTTGCATCTGTCGCCGTACTGCTGTCGGAGATTTGGATTTTTCGCCAACCGAAGCTCCAATTGCCGCCTTGGGTGGGGAACCACCACAGGAGGTTCCTCGGGGCGCCTGCGGCATCTTCGTTGCCCATCTCGCTGTCAGAATGTCATAGTGCTTACATTTGTGTAGGCTATAGTGTGGGTAGCCCATAAGGGGTACCACCCAATTAGGGTTAGTACTTGTACCCAACTTCTGTTCAATGCATTCATTCTCGTTCATTCTTTTGACATGGTTTCAGAGCAGGTCCTTCGTTAGGACCGATTTTTTTAGGGCCCACCACAGAGCTGCCCCACTAGCCGCCCTGCTGGCTCACGCGCCGCCCTCTGCAACCCTTGTGCTGCACCTACTGCCCTGCGCGCCGCCCTCTTGCGGCCCGCCCGTCGACCCTAGGCCACGCGCGCCCGTCGCCCCTAGGCCCCGGCCCGCCCGTCGACCCTGCTGCCCCACGCGCCCGCCCGTCCACCCTGTGTGTGCCGCCTGACCCAAGTATAGAGGCTGCTGCTCTAGGCTGTCAAAGTAACGAACGAGAATGGTTGAACTATGAAACAGTTGGGTACAAGTACTAACCCTAATTGGGTTGTACCCCTTATGGGCTACCCCACTACAGCCTACACAGATGTATAAGCTATAATGTTCTGACACACCCCCATAGGCAAAGTGGGGGAGAACAAGTGGTCACAAGACCAGTCAAGCAAAGCAAAGCAAGCTCAGGGTGGATCACAAAGTCACCACACAGTCCGAGCACAAGCAAAGGGCCACAAGACCAGTTCACATGCAGAGTTATATAAAAGAGAACAAACAATACAGTGATCATACCCTAGCAAGTGCAAGCATGCAGGTATATATATAGATCACAGTACAAGCAAGGTCACCCAGGAAGTAAGTGAGGCAAAGTAGGCACAAGGCCTAACACAGTAGAGAAGCGCTGATGATCACCAGGCGGAAGTGCCTTGGTGAATATATCAGCAATGTTGGCTCTAGTAGCCACGTACGCAAGACGAAGCTGGCCACGCTGCTGCAACTCTCGAGCAAGGAAGTAACGCAGAGCAATGTGCTTCGTTCTGTGCTCCAGTCTGTGCTCCCGACACAAGGCAATCATGGCCTTGTTGTCTACGTACAGAACTGGAGGCGAACGAGGCTGTTCTCCCAAGTCAGTCAGCAGGTAGGTGAGCCAGCGTAGCTTCTGAGCAGCCATGGCCCCGGCGTAGATCTCAGCCTCACAGCTGGAGCTGAGAACCAAAGACGAGCGGGTAGACCGCCAAGAAACTGAGCCGGAACC